CTCGGCCTCCCAAAGTGCTGGGATTACAGGCGTGAACCACCGCGCCCGGCTGAAACAATATTTCAAAGGGAGTTCAGACAGTGACAGAATGGCTCAGGTATTTTGTAGCTGTCGTCACACCTGAGCGCCAAAGCAAGGTGTCCTCACACCTTGCTGCACGTCGGCGGCTCTGGGGTTTTCCAGCCCCTTTGGAGCTGGGGCTTCCCTGACCACAGCCCCTCTCTGGGAGCCGTGTGGCATCCAGCAGCCCTGTTCTCTAGGGTTGGGGATAGCTTGTTAGGTCTGGAAAGTGAAAGAACTCAACAGGTGCTCAAAGAGTAGCAGCCGCTATGAAGGCAGAGGTGATAGGGATGGGGGGTGGGGCCTCGTTCCCTCCCTAAACTCACTACAGCTGGGGAAAGAACAGTGCGTAATGAAAACTCCTGGTGCTGACACTGACCCCACAATAAAACGATATAACAAGAATCAATATTGCTTTGTTTGGGTCAACGCCTTTGTGCGTGCGAAAGGTACGCATTGACTGTGCGGGGGGAACAGAGGAGCCCCATTTGGGCTGCATGCTCCACGTGTGTCCTCCCGTTCTCTTCTATTTATTTTTTTAGAGACAGGGTCTCCCTGTGTTGCCCACGCTGGTCTAGAACTCCAGGGTTCAAGTGATCTTCCTGCCTCGGCTTCCCAAAGTGCTGGAATTATAGGCGTGACCCACTGCACCCAGCTTCCCCTTCTCTTGAGCTAAGAGCTGGTTTGAGAAGATCTGTTATTGCGCCCACATAAAGCTTACGTAGGGCCAGACGTGGTGGAATGAGTCACCTGTGGTCTCAGCTACTTGGGAGGCCAAGGTGGGAGGATGGCTTAAACCCAGGTAGGAGGTTGAGGCTGCAGTGAGCCGTGGCTGTGATCAATAAAGCGAGACCCTATCTTAAAAAAAACAAAAAAAGACCAGGTGTAGTGGCTCAGGCACTTTGGGAGGCCAAGGTGGGCGGATCACTTGAAGTCAGGAGTTTGGGAGACCAGCCTGGCCAACATGGTGAAACCCTCTCTCTACTAAAAATACAAAAATTAGCCAGGCATGGTGGCTCACGCCTGTAAT